ATGTAAGGCACATTATATCTTACTCTGCAAACAAACCATATGAGAATGAAGAGGATGGAAGGAAGCCATATAAACTTAAACTGAACAGAACATCTTTAATTTCTTGCACAAGTTGTCAATGATAAGCATCAGTGCCCACTATAAATGAACTTTATGAATGYCTGACATGTGGAAAAGGGTGAAGTTGTTCCATGTATTTTCAAAAATATTAACAATCTCATACTGGAGAGACACCTATAGATGTTTCAACATTTTAATGTAGAAAAGTCTTCAATCATTCCTCTTGCCTTCAAAGATATAAGCTAATTCATACTGGAGATAAGCCTTATGAATGTAAATAAAGTGGTAAAACCTTCATTTATTCCTCTTACCTTTACATACATGAATGATTTCGTAATGAGGAGAAGACTTATAAATGCAAACAATGTGGAAAAGCCTTTACTAGTTCCGCTTACCTTCACATACATGAACAATTTTATACAGGAGAAAAGCCTTGTAAACAGTATGGGAAGGCCTGCTTACCTTAATATACATGAATTAGCTCATTCTACAGAGAAACCTTTCTAATGTAAGCAGTGTGGGAAATCCTTCACTACATCTAGTCTCTCTTATTCACTTGAAGGAACTCATGTTGGTGAGATGCCCTGAGAATGTAAGCAATGTGAGAAAGCCTTTGCTTGCTACAGTAACATTTTAAAACATCAAACAACTTATATATATTAAAAAAAAATCCTACTAAAGAAAAAGACAGGGGAGGGAAAAATTTGGGGGGAAATTCAATAGTTGTATTTTAATATGTCTTTGGAACAGTCAAGTTACCTTGTAAAGTAGGCAACTGGATATATGAATTAGGTGAATTAACACAGCTGGAGTATACATTCTGGATCATCTTAGTATAATATTAAAAGCCATGAAATGGAGTAAATTATATTCCATGCATGTACGATTCTGTTTAAAATGAAGCCCACTTTTATGTAGAACTATATTGCACCAATAAAAGCATTAAATATAGTCACATAGAAATAAAGAAAAGAGAAAATTTACATGTCTTATATGTATCTCCTGGATCCTTTTTTTTAATATTTATTTTTCAGTTTTTCGGTGGACACAACATCTTTATTTTATTTTATTTTTTTATGTGGTGCTGAGGATCAAACCCAGCGCCCCATGCATGCCAGGCGAGCGCATTACCACTTGAACCACATCCCCAGCCCCTTCTGGATCCTTAATAGCAATGTATTAGAAGCTAGAGAGTCTTCCCCAATCATATCTTGTTATTTTGTAGTTTGTTGTGTGTTTTTTGTAAGTATCAATCTTCCGTGATAAAAGTGAATGCAGTGGTATTGTCTGGTTTTTGCTTTGCAAATAGGATGGAAACAAACTTTCTGTGTATATATGCACATGTGATTCTATTGGAATACACACTCAAATGAGGCATGAGAATCAGTAAGGAAATAATTAGTTAATAAATGCTCCTGGAACTAATTACTAGTCCAAAATCAAAATGTAATTCTTACTTCACAACATCCTAAAATAAATCCTGCTTCAATGTCATGTATTAAAACTCAAGCTATGAATAAATAAAAATGAAAATTTKTTGATAAAAATCTCTGAAGGCACAACTGAGATCTTATAAGTTTTAACACAAATAGAAAAGATCAATATATATTTAGCTGACCCAAGACCAATGAACAATATTTTTCTCCTTGCTGAATTTTGATGCCCTTCTTGTTTTAGGTGAGCATTTACTTTGCAAAATCTGATTTGTTACACTGACCTGATCTGTGTATTCATTCTTGATTTAAAACTAGGGTGTTTTAATTGTTACAGATTGATCATATATTTTAATATATAATGCATCATTATTTGTTTATTATGTTCCAAAATTATCTAGAATTTAAGAATTAAAAAAAATTTTGAATCAATAACCAGATTTCTAAAAGAATCTTTTTGCTCTTATCTGAATTAAAATAATTGGTGGATTATTTTTGAAGAACTGTCCAAATAAAGTAACAACTTCAACTTATGCCATATACTAAAGTAATTCAAAGTTCAATCAATTAAACATGCAAAATTTTAAACTATCAAAAATATACAGAAGTAAAATAATGAGGAGATGGAACAAAAGAGAAAACAGAAAAAAAATACTGGTTAACAATAGACTTAAAGAAAAACAATTAGACAAGAAAGCATTAAAGACATTTAAATCCTCAAACTCTTTAGTAATTTGTTGTCAAATTACTCAAACAGTATACCATAGAAATTGTACTTCAAATTTCTAAGGGTTTATATCCAAATAGCCATATTGCAAGAATTGAAACATTACAAACACAGATAAATATACACATGAATAATTTTCCCTTTTAATATTTTCCTCTGCCTTTCCCAAGTATMRCAACTATTTTTATTTTCGATTTGTCATTCTAAATTATGGCTTTTCATAGTTAAAAATGTATGCTCCTAAAATCTAAAATCTGCATAATATTTTCCACACATTGCATTACTAGAAAGTAAGATTCATGAACAAAAGAATATTTGATTAATTTACTTACTGATATACTATAATAATTTAGTAAATAATAAGTACTAATTAAATATTTGTTGAATAAAATTTACACTAAAAATCCAGGAAAAATTTTTAAAAAATTCACACACACACAAACACACACACACACACACACTAGTCTATAAAACTAATTTGAAAATACAACTCGTCACACATAAAAGTTGCGTAAAGGGTATAATGGAAGAAAAATTTGCTGAAGAAATAAAAATGATCAAATATCTGAGAATAAATCAGGCAAGAATGTGTAGTAACTATATGAAACAAATTTTCAAATGTCCTTGAAGTGTGAACACACAGAAATAACTTTATGTTAGTTGCACAACTTTGCCTTGGACAATTGCAAAGAAAAATGGTTACAAAAACTCATAATCATGTGTAAGTCAAATAATCTTAAATTCAATTTTAAATGTACTATGTCTACATTCAATATATTATTATGTTAATTTTACCCAGAATTAGAAAATATGAATCTAAAATTCATTCCCATACAAAATTTAGGACAGAATGAGATATAAAATAGATATTTGATTAGCAAATCAAGATCCCCAAGGCTGCAGTTTATTTATCCAGCCACATGCTGCAGTCAAGGTTGTTGATGTTCATATGCAATGAGTACACTCCATGCCATAAGGCCTGGGTTTGGCTGGAACACATGATAGCCATAAAAACCTTTTTTATGAATCTACAACTGGCACAAAATGTGCACTTAAAGAGAAAAGTAGTCTATTTAGTGGCTCTCTCCTGTGCCCATGTCATAATCTCTATGTTCTAAATGTTAATCCATTCACCAAATGGTGAAGCAAGATAAACTAATATGAGAAAGACTGTTCATGGAAAAAGAGAACATTTGTTCTTGATTTTTTTTCTGATGTTTGTGTGTTTGTATCTCTCTTCATATACAATGTATTTGCTCCCTTTGCACATCTACCAACAAAGTGCCCCAAGTGCATAATAGGGAACCTAATTGTCCCTCCTTTTAGAGTGATAGGGCAGATGATGGTAGAGATTTTGTCTCTGCCGTTAAAAAAAAAAGTTTCCTTTTTCTCACATATAACTAAATAGTTCACATGTATTCTCCTAACTTGTGAAGTTATTTTGGAACAAAGAAATAGAAAATTCAGCTATATAGTACTACTCTATTAATGATGATCCAGAATCATGTATATACTGTAACCAAGAGTATTAGAGTTGCACATTTCCAGATAAAAGCATAGCCAAAATAATTATTTTAAGCACCAAATGTAAAAATTTAACTCTATTCCAAGCATTTATAAAAGATGGGCTTATACTATACTGTACATTTCAAAATCATTAGGAGAATAAATTTCAAATATTCTCACCACAGAGATAATAGATATATATACTGTATAGATAAATAAACTGTGATTATAAATCCTTAAAAAAAGAAAGCATTAAAGATATCATTTGAGTAAAAATCATAAACATTAGTACTTTAAATGAAAATATTTATGAATTTTAAACATTACAAAAATTTTAAAAACCTCAACACAGAAATAAATTATTTGCCACAAAGATTTATAAAAATTTAGAATGTTTTCCTTGAACTTGGTGGTATAAATAACTTTTAAAAACATAAGGTAGAGAAAATGAATAAACAATTCATAGGGGTAAAAATGTCTAATAAACATATAATTTGGGTACCTATTACCATTACTTAATGTCAAAAATAAAACAGAATCCTCATTAAAATGCTTTAAAGTTTTTTACTAACTGTTTGATGTGTAAATGGTATGTTGCTTTATATTGCAAAATGTATAACATGATTGATACCTTTAGGAATGAAAACAATCTTAATTTTACTCAGGTTAAACTAGATCTTATCTAATTTGCTATAATTCACTATTAATTATTTAATAAAATATTCATGTTTATTTCTTCTCATTCCATTCTTTTTCCATTCTTGGAAACATCTAAATAAAACTTCATTACTTTAACTATAGACTACTGCAATTAGTTTATAATTTCTAATTAGTACCTCTGTACTTGTTACAAGTGTCTGCAATGCCATTTTTCTGAAAACCMAAAACAATCATCTAACCTGTTGCCCTTGGAAGTGTAAATGTTTCTAACACTTCATAGAATCGAAAGAAACTTTCTTCCATTAACTGGATAATATTAATCAAAGGAGATCCTTTTCTCTTTAAATATTTAATTTTTATGCTATTTTGATTTTTTAAGACTTGTAACAATAAAATGACATAATTACATGAGACGAGTAAGTAATAACAGTGACCACTGATTTTCCCTTGATTTACTCAGATTGTTTAATATGGATTAAAATTTGTCAAACAATAACAAAATTCTATCATATAGCCTTTAATAAATATAATCTACTGGCTTAAAGATATTTCATGTAAAATAGTATTTCCCTTTTCTATGTTCATTATTTATGAAAACATTTTAATAAATAAAATTAATTAGCTATAGGTGATGAAGTTTGTTTAAGAATGTTATAAGACTGCAGAATATTTTTTAGTACATTTTTCACCTCCTTATTTCTCAGACTATATATAAAAGGGTTTAATAAGGGAATTACGATAGTGTAAAAGATTGCCACTGGTATATCTTTATCCCCTTCTTCAAAAGGCCGAATATACATGAGGAGACAAATGTAGAATATTGAGACTGAGAAAAAGTGGGATGCACAAGTAGAAAATGCTCTACCTCTCCCTTCCTTGGATTTCATTTTGAAAATTGCAATAATAATGCAAAAATAAGAGATCAAAACAGTAGAAATGGTAAAGATTTGAATTGGCATTGAAAAAATATATATCATTAGTTCATTAATGAAAGGATCGGTACAGGATAGTCTATAGAGTGGAAGGATATCACAGAAAAAGTGATCAATTTGATGAGACCTGCAGAAAGTTAGCCTTAATAGAAGTCCTACATGAATCACAGAATGCAGATTACTAGCTATGAAGGTTCCTATAGTCATTTGAATGCAGAGTTTCTTTGACATCAGGGTGTGGTACTGCAGGGGACTGCATATTGCCACATAGCGATCATAGGCCATTGCTGCCAGAAGAAAGCAGTCTGCAGTCTCAGCAAGACAGAGAAAATAAAACTGTGCCATGCATTCATAGAGGGAAATCTTTCTGTCCTCAGAAAAGAAGTTCTGTAACATCTTGGGAGTGATGGCACAGGAACAGCAGGAATCCATGAGAGCCAGGTTGCCCAGGAAGATGTACATTGGTGTGTGAAGACGGCGGTCCATGTAAATCAAGGCCACCAACCCTAGATTCCCCACCATGGTGACCAGATAGATGGCAGAGAACACCACAAACAGAAGAACCTTTATGTCTGGGTGATCTGTAAACCCCATGAGAATAAATCCAGTCGTTATGGAGTGATTTGCCTTCGGCATTCCTGACTTCTGTGCTGTGATAGAAATCATAAAGAAACTCGGTTAAGATTTGCAGGTAAATGGATGAAGTTAGAGAAGATAATGCTAAGTGAAGTTAGCCAATCCCCAAAAAACAAATGTCGGATGTTTTTTTGTGATATAAGGAGGTTGATTCACAGTGAGATAGGGAGGCCGAGCATGGAAGGAATAGAAAAACTCTAGATAAGACAGAGGAAGAGAGGAGAATGGAGGGGGCAC